CCCCAAAACCCCAAAACCCCTATAAATAAAATATAGTGGATAAATGATAAATAAAAATGAAAAATTAAGAAGAAAAAGAAATAGACTTGATGGACTTCAGCGATATTGAAGTGGATAATACCTTTGAAGATGTTATTAAGCAGATCAAGGTTTTCTTCTTTGAGAAGTATGTCAATTAGCCAGCCACCTCAGTCTACATAAGGTTCACAGCAAGGTCCAGACCTAGAAATCAGAAGTATATCGATAAATAAGCGTTTGAATATTTTCTGCAATCATTGGGAATACCAACAGAACCACTAAAAACTATTCACAAAGATTTATGCTTTAAAAATAAGCTGAGCAATTCACAAGAGTTTATCAATTCAAAAGAGCAAAACAATGATATAAGCATTAGTAATTCTTAATAAATCAGCTTGTTCGAACAGATTTACAAAGCATTTGACAAGGATAATGACGGGCTTATTTCATGCAGCGATTTCACTGAAACTTTAGAAGTCATTAAATCAGAGATAATGCTAAGACTGAAAGTAAAGAATATCAATAATAATACTAGTAATTTGAATGGCAAGAGCAAAATATGTTAAAATAATAAATCTTAGTTTAAACTAAGGCAAACTTCTAAAGATTTAAACTTCGCTCATTCTCCTTCATAATAAGCAGAAACAGCAGAAGTTAAAATGAAAACAGTACAAGTTTATGAAGCAGATTCAAGAGGAAGAAACAATAAACTCTCATTTCTCAAAAAGAATTAATCTACTTAGGAGAATAAGGTCAAAGATGACTAGTTAATTAAGATACTTTGTGGTTCATTGGCTTAAACAATATATGATAGATCAGATAACAATGAGCAGGTCCGTTCTTCTTAGGCTGATATAATGATGAAGTTGAAAAGGAGTGATATGTTCCGGTAAGGATTAGTGTCAATGGACAACTTTATCAAGATTGTCAAATCTTATGACATATACGTAGAAGGACTAGTTGACTAAGATACTCAAGAATTTGAAGTGCTGCATGATATGAGAGACCAGCATAAAAATCTGATGATTCCGCTAGCTGAGATCAAGAGGCAACTCAACTTTGCCGTAAACTAATGCATAAGTTCTGATGGTGATGGAAAGGTAAACGGTTTTAACATTAGAAAGAAGCTAAACAGAAGCAGAGAGATGAGGAAAGCTAACGAAAAGGAATAAAAGAGGAAGAAATATGAAGAGTTGATGAAACAGTCAAACATTTAAATCCATAAATCTTAATAAAGCGATGAAAATACAGGAGATGAGGAGGGAGCTATTGATTTCAATAAAAAGAAATAGAGTATTATGCAAATCATCATCAATAATAGGGAAACAAATAAGTCTTATATCGATGAGTTAAATCAGCAAAGTGATGAGGAATAAATCACTTAAAGTAAACTTTCATTTTATTGATCATCAATAGGATAACGACAAAGAATTAGATCATAGCTAATAAGGAAGAAATATTTCAATTATGAGAATAATGACATCTCAATTATTAATAAAAATGATAAGCTCCTCCAAGAAATGAAGGCTTCCATTTAAATACAAAAACTGTAATTTACACCTTATACTGTAAACATATAAATAGAGATCCAAAGATTAAAGTGATACAGCACTATAAATATATACAACAAGCTATTGATTCATATCTTGACAAGGCAAGTAAAGATGAGAAACTAGATAAGAACTTAATAGCTTAGGAGCTGATTGAGAGCATGATTGCTAGGTCTGGAGTTTATTATGATCCAAAAATGCTTTCAAAACTCTTGGAATTTGTTCCTAAATAGCAAAACCAAAAGGTTAGTATTAAATAGAGTATATTTAATTATCCTAGGAAAATTTAAACTTGAACATTGGTAGAGTAAAGACATATATTCAGGGTTAGATAATATAACTTAAAAAGAAGCAAATAGCTTAGAAAAATCTAAATAATCAGACTTTTAATTAAAACCTAGATATCAATAAAGTAATCGAGATGAGGGATACAGGGACTGACCCACTAGTGAAATTTGTGTAAACACCCCAAATTCCAGCTCCTGTTTACTAGAATAATTTCGATTTGATATCTAATTCTACTGGAAGCTTAAGTCATAGACCTTAGACCACACCATTAAATATCAATCGTAGTGTATTTGAAAATGAAGTTTTGTTTTCGAGGGAGGCAAAGTAAAGGATTTAAAGTCGCCAGAAGGAGTTAAGCCAGCTTAATAGTTAAGATCATCTAAAATCAAGTATGGGAACTGCCACAATTGATTTTACAGCTAATAATGGATGCTTAAATGGTTAAAGTGGAACCAGTATTGGCGGTAATGGCATCAGTGTTGTTATCGGTCCTTCACCATAATATACAGTCTTAAAATAAAATGAACTAAGGTTATTTCTATACAAAAAGAGACAGTTTAATAAGACTTAATCCTCTTATAGAAATATTTTCAAGTATTTTCCTACATCATTTTAAGAAGAAGCTTCTGATGCTACTGATCAAAGTATTACTAAGTCATAAGAGAAGACACAAACTGACAAACTAAAATCTAAATGGAGATTAAGGATATAAGCCAATTTAGATAACATAATGAAAGATATATTTAATGTTGATCTGATGCGCACTAAATATTTAACGATGGAGAAACTTGTTCAAATATTTGCTCATAATGAAATTCATTTCACTGAAGAAGATGTAACTATCATTGGCACACTTTGCCTTAATGAATAATCAGTCAAAGTCAACTACTATAAAATTTTTTAGTATTTGGGGATACTGGTAGATGAATATTTTCAAAGATAAAAGAGTCCAAGTGCTTAATAGAAAAGAAGTGATAGTATTAATAGAACTAGCTTTGGAGGAAATAGCACCATGCATTCTACAAGAAATTTGCTAAGTAAAACTAATTTGAAGTTCAAAGGCTAGGATTCGGATATTTAGTATGTTCCATTGACCTAAAGAAATGCCATAAAACCATTAACATCTCAAAATAACATTAGAATTTAAGATTAATCACCAACAGCTCGATCAAACTATTTATTGAATTCAATTAACTAACAATAAAATCCAATTTAGATGATTACAGCATATTAGAGGCATTCTCAAAATTAAAATCAGTAATTTAGCCATCAAGTTCTAAAGTAAAAAAGCCCTTTAAAAAATATAGCGAACATTCATACTTTGTTTGCCAAAGAGCTCTTCCATTTGAGATACAACTGGGCTCTTATAATGAAAGTTCTCCGAGAAAAAGATTAAGTCAATAGTGGTTTAGTATCTGATACAGAATTTAAGACTATAATAAGAAAAACTGGTTGTACCCTTAACGACAAAATCCTGAATATGATGATCTACACAAAGTAATCTGACTCCCAATGGCAATAAAATGATGTTAGTAGTGATTATTAAGAGGAATAAGATTATGCTGTTGGAGTTGCTGGCAGAATAAATTATCTCAAATTTTACACCAAGTATTTAAAGTGATTATTTTTCTAATCATTAATTATAAATTATAGAGAAAAATTATTATCCATGCACATTGGGGTTTTGGGGTTTTGGGG